TATATATATATATATATATATATTTACATGGGTGTGTTATGTTGTTTGTTTGTTGGTTAATTGTGATACTGTTTTACAGAACTCTAGCCCGAGACCTGATGGTAAAATGAAAGGAGCGCAAGCCGCAGCGATGAGGATCGGAGGGGACAAGTCTGCGTTCTACAACGTCAGGTTCTACGGGTTTCAGGATACTTTCTGTGACGATCACGGCAAGCATTTCTTCAAGGATTGCTACATCGAAGGAACGATTGATTTCATCTTTGGTAATGCAAAATCTATTTATCTGGTAAGCAATTACGACCGCGATGAAATCTTTAAATCTTGGTTGATCATTCTATGCGAAAACCGTTTTTGTGGGGTTTATGCAGAACACCGAAATTCATTGCATTCCTGGACATCTAGAGGCATGGATAACGGCACATGCACGGAAAAATGCTGAAATGGACACCGGTTACGTCTTCGTGCACTGCCCTGTTACAGGAACCGGGCAGGGGGCGTTCCTAGGACGAGCGTGGAAGCCGTTTTCCAGAGTGGTGTTTGTTTACTCTGATTTGGGTCCTGTCGTCAGCCCTAAGGGTTGGAACAGTAACAATCATGCTCAAAGGTAATCAACTTCGACTCGCCTACACAACCCTTTTTACAAGCCAAACTAAGGCCTATTTACTTTACCAAACACTTAATTACCCGGTAAATACTTACCAACAAAAGTCACCACCCTACTTGCCTTATCGGTCAAAAAAATGGATTGTTGATAAGTGTCTCTTACCCAATAAGCGTTTACCGGTTAAAAGTCTTAATTTCCCCTCACTTCTTGGGTAAGCTTATCGGTCCTTATTATGTCTTTTACCTTACCCGGTAAGAGCTTGATTTTACCATCCTCACCCGGTACGGTAAATCACACCCAATAACTAGCTACTTACCAAGTAAGGGTTTAATAAATGGCCCGAAAGTGTTTATTGTTTCTTACTAATAAGAGATTAGATTATATTGTTAATATAGAGTATATGTTACTGTGGTTACCCAAATTACTTTTATGCGTAAGCACTTAATTACTATATATAAAACATTTTGTAAACAACAATTTTCAGTCAAGATTTACCTAAAACGAATGGATTGGTTAGTATTTAGTTGATTTGTGTTGATGGATGATTGTTGTAGGAACCTATTCTTCGGAGAATTTGGTAACATAGGTCCAGGATCAAATGTGGCACTGAGGGAACCATTTGTGAAGCAGCTTAAAAGGAAAGATATTGAGCCCTTCATCAGCCTTGCTTACATTGAGGGTAGTAAATGGCTCCTTCCACCTCCAAAGCTCAAGTTTAGGTCGAGGATCAAATAGCCCTTAGTTAAAACATGTAAAACAACATTGTACTAGTCTTAGTTTCTTTCTTAAGATTGTATTAGTTTACAAGGGAGTGTATACATATTACATGTATGTATATATTGGTTTTTGCTTGCAAGCATATGCGTGCGCGTGCTCGTGCTGGAGTATATATATATATATATATATATATATATATAGATTTCGGTAAAAAAACACCGACCTTCATCAACCTCAACATACATATAGTATGGCCATGGTCGAAACTTTAATAAACTCATGCATGCATGTGAGGTAACCGAAGGTGATGAACATACATATGAAGGTCCATATGTTTTTCTATGAGAGTATCAGAGTCTATCAAAACTATGACGTAATCTCTATTTGTTTTAACGTAGCACGTAAAGACATGAACACCCTTGCAGAGTAATCTTGGTTCATCAATCTCTCTTTTTTTACACAAACAAAATACAAGAAAATGCAAGTTCCTTTTTCTATTCATTCACGGACGGAGATTACATGAGACGAAGAGCAAATTAAATGACTACAAATAAAAGCGACTAATTGTACATACTTCAAAGATGATACTAAAATTCATGGAATGGGAGACTATTAACTATAAATTAGACCAAAGTGTTTGGTTTTTTGGACTATTGGGGGATGGGGAGGACTATAAGTTTAAAACCATGTTAAGAGTGCTGCATACAACAGAATGCTTAAGAAAAATGTTTGGCAATGCAAAGCAATGGTACATATTGATACATATTCTAAGACTATAACAAGACATTGTCTATTAGTGATGGTATCAGCATTGCCTCTTTCGCCCACTAGAAAAACACTCACAACCTTCGATCAATATGGTCGGTACCGCATTGGTCTCCTCGCTCTTGGAATCCTTCTGCACAATAAAAACAACATATTGGTTTCTGATTAGACCAGCACAAGGTATCGGACGATCAAATTTGTGATGAAGCGGATGCATTTATATCACCATTGAGTTCTTAACGAAAATGGCATTGATTCAATAAACCAAACCAAACAAAACAAACCTAGCATATTCTGCTCAGAAGCAGGCAAGGGAGGGTTAAGATGTAAGCAGACCTAACCTCTAAGACCCCCAGCTAGTAATACCTTGGAAGTTGTGGGTTTGAATCCCCTTTCTCTCGCCCATTTTGACTAACATATTTAAATTTGGGCTAAATAGTCATTCCAGAGGTTTATGTCATTTTGTCAAGTCTTTATGCTGTGCTGGTGCAGACTAGTTCATCGCTTGTTTTTTACTTTTTGTAATATTGCATATGTTATTCCATGACCTTATATATTAACCAGCGGTTCTAAAGTCCCCTTTTAACCAAATTCTGTCCACTCCCTAATGGGTCATGCTTTAGGGACACAAGGAACTCAGAGGTTAGTCCAAATTTCTATATCAATCTCTCAAGATGTCTGGTAATAAAAATGGATTTAGATGCATGAAAAGAATATAAGATATAGTAGGGAAGTGGAGTGATTTTATGCCTCAAAATAGTAAAAGGTCTCCCAAGTGCTGTGTTCATATTTGGGATTGTTTTCAAGGGATTTAGATTTCATGGAGGGATTTGGATTTCATGTTGGGATTTGGATTTGGATGGATTTGGATTGGAATGAATTTATGTGTTTGGTTTGTAGGATTTAGGATGGAATTGGATTCCATTATTTATAAATAATTATAAAAATAATTAAATTACATTTTTATTAATCAATTATTACAAAAAAAAAGTTCTCAACATTTTTTAGAGCCTTATTGCATACAATCCTACGAAATACCGTGAAAAACCCTAGCACCTCCTAAGGATTTCAAAATCCTATGTTTATAGGATTTCAATCTAGGATTTCAAATCTCGACAATCCAACAAACCAAACATGGGGGTGGAATGGATTTGAAATCCAAATCCATTCCATTCCTACAAACCAAACAGGACCTTACTTCTCCAAGATCTTAGTAATCCTCCACAAAGACGTAAACAACCTCAAGAACTAGGCACCACTCTCTTAATGTGTTATTCAAGCTTCTTCATGACTGCATGCCATGGTGAGCAAACAAAGCAGAAAAGAGGGTCATCTAACTACGACATATCATCTGCTTCTTGATGCTTTGAACTTGTATAGCTACATCCAGGGGTGTCCATTGCTTGAAAATTTTGAAATCCAATAGATCTAGGCCGAACCAATTCAATCCAATTAACTTTGGACAACCGATCTAACCCAATCCAATATATGATTGGATCTGATTGGTTCCATCCATTGGTTATTACTATTGGTTATCCATAGGATTCGATTGAATCAATCCAATATTTTAATCTAATTTTCCCGATCAATTAATCCGCCATTGCAACCAATTAGTCATATATTTTTGTAATTTTCTTACAAGCACTACATACTTTTTTGTAAAATATTATCAATTATACATATATGATACATATAGGCGAAGGATCGTGTGAGAAGGAGAGTTAAGGTGAGAAGCGTAAGAAGGAATCTAGACCCTTGATCACCTTTAATCTCAAACCCACCCATGAAACGCACTTGATAACGGGATTGACCCAGTGCATCTCGGTGCATCTCATCCTAATGTGCATCTCAACTCTCCTCATTGGAACCCAACCCCATCTATATATTTGATGGTAGATGGATAGTCTATGGATAGTAATCGGTTCAATTGTATTGGATTCTTGACTGTCATTAGGAACCAACTAATCCAATTTGATATTTTGGACCCAGTCCGATCCAATTACAATCGGATATCCAATTCTGGTCGGCTGATTCTAATTGAATCAATCGACTTTTTGCACACCCCTAGCTACAACCATTGTAGGTGCTCCATCTCATTTCCTTGTGATTATGTAGCCCATGGCCTCCTTAGAGAAATGAGATTCTTATGGAACAAACTGAATTTCTGGTAGCAGTTCCCTGATCTGCACCGTCAACTGAATCATATCAATTGGTGCATAAGGATGACCGTAGATATATATTACTTGCTATTTAATTCTCACTTTCTGAACCAGAAGCCAAGAACTAAATGATCAGGCATTATGGTGTCATGATTCTCTTCACCTCTTCTATGGCATACTAAAATATATACTCCCTCCGACCCATGAATATCGCAATATTTGACTTGGAAAAGTTTTAAGTAAATTATTTGACTGTTTTTAAAATATTTAAAAATGCCATTCGATAAAGAAAAATTAGATGAATCTTGCAAACCCAAATTATTGACCATTTTTTTTAATATGACAATGGGAAAGGGATTAATTTATCATGAAAACTTGGCTAAAAAGGAAATATGGAGATATTCATTTGAAGTCCCACAAAGGGAAGTATTGCAATTTCATGGACAGAGGAAGCACATAGATAAGTATCTTTTTACTATGCTAAACATCACTAACTCACCTCGATCACGTGGTGATAAGGTTTCTCATGATACAAGAAATATTCCGATTTCAATATGTCAAATGAAACTGCAGTTCGATTTAGAAGTAAAGTATTGAGGTGAACTGTGTGATATACTTTCAATCCCCTAACCTGAAGAGGCTACTCATGCCATAACATGATACGTCATTGCTGGCACCAACATCTTTCCAAAAATTATTGAAGAATTCTCTAGTAAAACAGACAAGTCCTCCAGCTTGTGATCATCATCAACTTGTGCAAGGCTTATTATAGTTTTACATAAGTCAAAATGATTTTCCACAACGATGCATCAACAAAAGTTGTGCTATTATAGTATTAATGTATTGCTCTAAATACCTCATAAATTTCTTCTTTAAATTCAAGACCTTCACCTAACCTTGACAATCAAGGTGACTCATTGTCGTAGGTAACCTCCTTGGCATCACTACTACATTAAGTAAAGATTCTAAACCCCATCCTGCCCACCGTTTTCTTTTCTTTTATTCTACATAATGTTGCATGATTAGAGAACTAAGAGTAAGAGATTCTTTGGCTTTTCCCTCATAGAAATTAGAAGCATGGGAAATGAGAGGTTCAAATACTCTAATCAACTACGGCATTAAGTAACTTCAAACCTACACAGCATGCTAGAACCTCCTGGTGCACCCAGAGAATGCATAGGGTGACTTTTTAATTTATTGGGATTACTATATGGATTTCCAATCTATCGACTACAAAAATGATAGATTACAGTATGCTTCAAAACTTCCAGATAAACCCAATTTAGTCTATGACAGTGAAGGGGTTACTAGAAAAGCTCATGCCAGATAACCTAGTTATCAAATAAGAAAATCCCTGCCATGTGAGATTATTCTAATGTGAGAATCAAGAAATCATCACATATACATTAATACCACATGAGAGAATGAAACTACACAGCTAGTGAGGACAGAATCTGATACATACCCATAGCCATATGGAGGGTACATTGGTGGGCCAGGCATGAAAGGCCTTCGTGAATGAAATCCAAGATATGGGTTGGGACGCCTCCCTCTAAATTGTTTCATCCCAGGAACATTGGTTCGCTTAGCAGCAACCTGCACAGCTCAGAAATCCACTAATTAAACTTGGAACCCAAAATTTTGCTAATATTTCAAACTAATTAACCAATATGGTTAGTACCTTAAGTTGACGACCATGCAACTCTGATTCATTCAAAAGGAGAGCATTCTGAACAGCTTCTAGTTCTACAAATTCCACATATGCAAAACCTTTCGGTTGACCAAATTTGTCTGTTAATATTGTTACCCTGTTTACAGTCCCACATGATTGAAAATGCTGCTGAACCTCCTCAGGCGTACATGCATAGTCTACCTGAAGTTCAGAAAGTGTAAAATGAAGGTTATTCCAAGCACCTAGAAGAGAGCATCTCACAATAGCATAACAGAAATGACAACAAATACAACTTGTAGCTCTTCAGGAGAACAGCATAATAACACAAATAGAGATCAACACATAAAGCCTCCTCCTTGAGAAACCAACCAATTCATACTATCACCAAACTCTCAGGATTTCCTGGTACAACATTCCTGACCATAGTATGTAGATTGCGAAGAAGATTATTTGACTTCATCCCTCTCTCTTTATTTTCTAACAAAACTGGGTTTGATGTTATTATGATGTTTTTGTTATAATGAAATGTCATAAGATGCATTTGGTTCTAATGCAACTCAGTTTGGGTAGATCCTATCCAAAAGTAAATGTGAAATAGACAGGTAAATGAAGGCAGGAAGCTTCCATATCATTCAAACCTGCTTAACTAACAAATCAACTTTCAAGCATCAAAATAAGGATGATCAATTTGATGAGCTACTTTTACTTGTATTCGGGGAAAAGCCCAATTTTTAGCTAATAGATATGTCTGAAATGATCAGATAAGCATAAGCATGCCCTGGTAAAAGGCCTTGAATGTTTACATAAGCTACACATGCAACAGTTCCTAACACCAACATTACTCTTTCAAGAAACAAAGAACACTGGTGGTAAACCCTACACCAGTCCCTATTGAATGGTATTTGATCCAAATAAATTTGTTACGGAAAATTATATGTACAGAAACAAACACAAGGCTTGAGGGAAACCCCCACCATGCCAAGCCTTAAACCATCACACTTCTTACAAGGAGCAACCTAGGAAAGAGAATCGAGAAGCAAGTGAACCCAACATAGAATAGGGCTGGTGACTGGAACACAGAGAAAAGAAGCAACGTTACCTTGATGAAAGAGTATGAAGTTGTGAACTGTTGTCTGACTTTATTTACATATACGTTCTAAGGACATTTTATTTACATATACTTTCTAAGGACACCAATGTAGTTGGATCCAAGGATAGATAAGAAAAGATACAGAGGTTTGAATCTGTTTATATCAACAAAAAAAGCTATTTTGAATTCTCTAACCCCAGTGAGAACTGAACATTGGAAGTATATGTAAACAAAGTAGCAGATAAGAGTTCTTGTCAAGCCCCCATGGGTGGTCCCAGACTGACTTGTTAAAATTATTGGGCAGGCATGGGCAATGCAAAAAAGAATGGACATATAAACCCGGCCTTTCAGCATTTCATAATTAATTTAATTTTATAAATAAAATTAAGAATCTAGGTGCTTCCCAATTCCCCCTCTTAGTTGTGACAACTCTTTGACAACCAAAAAATATGATTTTATATAAGTTTGCTTTCTTAAAAAGGTAAAAAAAATTAGGCCCGTTAGCCAAGGCAAGCCCAACTTGTTTATAAGGCAGCCGAGGGAGAGTTATCAAGCCTGAAACAAGGGCATGTGTCTGCTATATTGTTGGACAAAAGAAATAGGTTAGGCCCGGCCTGAGCTCGAACCAATCCCGCAAATGATACCTCTACCATTGATGACGACTCCAGTGAGAAGAGTAGAGAGAGTGACGGTTGAGGGGGTGAAGAGGAAGGGAAGACCGAACAGAACATGGGATGAGAAATTGAGGATGGACATTGCAGCAATAGACATTTCGGATAACATGACCTCTGATAGGAGTGCTTGGAAACGCTTAGGGTCTCAGTTTAAGCTAAGGTTATGTTTTGCCTTGCTTGCTCTGTGTTCTGCCATACTACCTTTGTGTGTACTTTGCCATACCTTACTTCTTTGTATGTTTTCAACGTCCCTACGTGTTACTTTTTCTTTCTTATTTTTCTCGTTCTATGTTCATTGTGTGCTAGTCCTTGTTCCTTAAACATGTTTGCTCTCACACTTTGCACAAGTTAGAGGTCTTCAAGAAAACAGTCGCTCTACTTTTTGAGATAGAGGCTAGGTCTGCGTACATCTCCCCCTTCCCCACAAAAGAAGACTATACTTTCGAGTGGTATTTACTAAGCCAATTCACTTTGGTTTTTAGAGCTACAATGTAATTGGCCAAATTCATTTCATGTCTAATCACATACTGCATATGGTAACCCGTTCTACCAGCTACATTTGACACATTCTTTTGATAAAAAAACAAAAAAGAATGCTTCCAATATCCCAAAATAGCCAATATCTTCTTTTATACGACAATATAAACTCTCTCATTGATGAAAAGTGATATCTCAATAACTAATCGTAAACCAGTGTATCCTCTTCATCCACTCATTTTTTTTCTAAAGAAACACTCAATCGACCTAAAGCACACATTTTATTTAACTACCATATTTCATGTCAGTTTGGTCTTCCTGGCTGCTAGTTGATGCTCATGGGTCAGAATCATCACTTCATGGCAAGAGAATTTTCATAGATTCAGATGCCTGTAAAAATGTAACCATCTTGTAACCAACCAAAAAAAATTCCAAAAGCAAGATCCTCGAAAATTTTATTTTTCCATCCCCAAGAGCTAAGAATATAACCTTAATGACTCAATAATCAATTTAAAAGGCTCCATTCATCCGGGATTCAAAAAAAATCCTCCTAGACAAATCCTATTTTAAAAATCTGTTGATTGGGATAGAGAAGAAATATCCCCAAAAGGGGAAAAAAGGTTCAATGTGGTCAACAATTAACATGTCTTCTGTGATAACTATCCTCTCTTCTTAAAAGATTTCACTTCCAAGCAGCACAATATACTAAAATGGTTCCAGCTGCCACAATAGAAAAAACTAAAGGGAAAAGAAAATCAGCTCCCTTACAAGTTAGACAAAAGTTGTGATAGCTCACTGATAATTAAAGGGGCACACCAATAGATGAAATTGCTTCATCATTGTGTTCCAAGAATACACACGGTTCTGTCAACTTCTTGTAAAATTTAACAAGAAGTTCACGCTTGTTATACCAACCTGACAAACAAGAACTGGTCAACGCATCTTTGTTCAATTTTCCTCTGCATTTGAACAATACAGGCACAAGCAAGGTCGTCTGGTTGAAAGGTATCGCATCATGTCTCTTACTGAAATTAGATCCACCTATTCTACAGATATGGGTATATCTTTGTTCCTAGAGGCACTTTATTTTAACAATCCAACAAGAAAATCCACATGGGAATCAAAAAACTTGGTCCAAGAAATAAAGAAAAATATACTTGTTAAACATGGAGACTGAAGGTGGTGAAAGAAAGGCTTGCAATATGTAATTGACAAATACAGAAAAGTCGGAAAACATGGTAACAAATTCAACCGTGCCACTCTCGTCAGTTATAGAAGGTTAAATTGCATAAGTATTGCTCTCAACATTGATTAAAAAAGAAAATAGTTATTGATCAAGCAATTCCAAAGCATACCAATAATCATAAAGTGTAAACAAACTGAAATGAAATAAAGTGAAAGATTAAAAAACCTCACATTACCAACATATATCGAACGGGCATCCGCCTCCTCTTTTTCAGCCTGAGTTGCAGAAGCACCGGAAGAATCATCTAATCATGCCCATAACCAAAAGAAAAATAATAATGTTAGGTAGACAAGATAGATAATCTAGCTATGCAACTGATTGTGGCTTAAATTTACTCTAGCTATGAAACTGATTATGTCTTAAATTTACAAGTCAGAACAGTAAAATATTGCAAATAGAAAAACAGTGTCGCAGAAGAATGGATAAAAGGCGCTCCACAGTAGTTAATAAGCAGATTTTTCAAAACTAGAGCATCATTAAGACTTAGACTACAGAACAATATGCTGGAAACAATATATAGAGAGAGTGAAATATATAACAAGAAATATATATATAAGATGAGTGAAATAAGATTAAAGAAAACATATGATTCTTGATATACAACAAGTCCAATACATTCCATGCTCAGAAAACTAAAAGGAGATATATATATATATATATATGTATATGTATATATATATATGTATATGTATATATATATATGTATATATATATATATAAGAGTGAAACATATAACAGGAACTATATATTAGATGAGTGAAATAAGGTTAAAAAAAGAAACAGTTCCTGATAAACAATGAGCCCAATACATTCCATGCTAAGAAAATTAAAAAACTAGGCTATCAAGGCCTAGAAATAAAAAGAAACTCACAAACTCTTTACACAACCGTCCAAATGATATACCACAAACTTTAAACACCAACTTCCAAGCATTAACAAGAACCTCCAAGCCTAGAACTTTTACTAGGAAGTCTTTCGGGTCAAACAATTCCTCATCCTCTGCTTCCAGTAAAATCTCCTTGATACAACGATTATCTCCATTTGTGTCAACAACAATATTTAGCACCCCTCCACACATCCTAAGCATGATCTGTCCATCTTTGTATACTCCTTCCTTCGGTTTTGGAAGTTTCACAAATCTAGAATATCTTACCAGACCATATACCAATACGACCTTCCCAAAGCAGTCGCCATCAATCTTGACCATGTTCTTTTCCAAACTCAGATAACTATATCCGGTTGCCAATCTGCCCAAGTAGACCAAAAGGAGGTGGTTGGAACCGCCGAATACATAGTGTTGTACTACTTGTTTACAAATTTCCACTAGTTTTATAGTTGATACCGGCCCTTTTGGATTATTCGAGAAAAATTGATACACCTTTTGTATAAGAATTGGGCCATAGATGTAATCTATAATGACAGGAGCGTCAAACTTTGTGGGATTCTCATGTATCAGTGAGAAGGTGAAATGATTGACATCGTTATTAACAAATCGGCGTATGTTGTGGCTTATAGGGTTATAGCTATGGCGCTTAAGCAGTCGTCTTATTATCCTAGCTATTAATAAAGGGGGCTAGCTATTAATAAAGAGGGAAAGTGATGAATATCACATCGTTATTAACAAATCGGCGTATGTTGTGGCTTATAGGGTTATAGCTATGGCGCTTAAGCAGTCGTCTTATTATCCTAGCTATTAATAAAGGGGGAAAGTGATGAATATCAATAAAGAGAGAGAGAGAGAGAGGTGATAGATGATGGGAGCGATCAATAATATATTTATATTAGGTGATTTAGGGCTAGAGTTAGGTTTTCAGAGGGAAGGCGAGAGAGGGAAGGTCTGAGCCTATGCTGTTATATCGGTCAGAATACGAAATATCGGTCAGGACCGATATTCGATATATCGGTTATATCGGTGATATATCGGTGATATATCGGAAATATCGATTAACATAATATTTCTTAGAATTATATATATATAATATGCATTAATTAGAGTTTAGAAATATAGTTTCAAAATTAAAACATCACATCATCTAAAGTGTTCAAAAACAAGCTAATCGCAAGCAATAGGTTCGGCATCCRAGTCAACATCATCCAATACATTCACTTCTTCGTTTAGGTTAGCTTCCCAATCTTCCTCTTCTTCCCAATTCTAACTTCTAAGTTCTAACTTCTAAGCAGTAWGCAGAGTGAAACAAGTAATAGCATCCAAATCAGCCACTCACCTACAGCAGTATCTGATCAAATTATAAATTATTTGTAGTATTTCATAAGCAAATGGCCAACAATATATGATACAATCTACAGCTCTTAATGCAAGAATATATGATACAAGTCTACAACCTACAGCTCATAAACAATATATGAATATATGATACAAGTCTACAACCTGCAGCTCATAACCAAAATAGGATTCAAACCTGGCTCTTGCTGGCTGTGAGAACGACTAGAAGAAAAACAGAGGAGATCGAGAACGACTAGAAGAAAAACAGAGGAGATCGAGAAGAGAGCTGGACAGTGGCTTGGGCGCTTGGCTCTGTGTAAGTCGTAACTCGTAGTCGTCGTAAGTGGCAGCTGGCTTAGTTTGAGCGAGAAAAGAGAGAGACCGAGAGAGAAAAGCGAGAGAGAAAAGAGAGAGACCGAAAGAAGAAGTCTGAACTAAGTTTAGATTTAGATTTAGACCTAATTTACTAAGCAGCCCAAAAAATAAGGCCCATGGAATAAAAAAAAAGCCCAAAATTTTAACCCTTGTAAAAATCGGAATATCGGACCGATTTTTCTCTAAAATATCGTTCAAAATATCGCCAAATATCGCCGATAATATCGTTGGCGATATTTTGGCCGATTTTTCATGACCCATTTTTTTTTCCGAGCGATATCCGATATATCGCCGATATATCGGCGATATATCGCGATTTTGACAGCATAGGTCTGAGCTAGGTCTGGAGGTGACAGAACCAAACTATGTTTTTCATCCTTTCTTAAGAAAATCATTTTATATGTATATATATAATACTCTTATATATACATATATTCTTACAAATGATTTTCATGAGTATAATATATATATATATATAATGATTTTCTTAGAAATGATCAACAAGGAGGTGGTTTGAACCGCCGAATACATAGTGATGTACTACTCGTTTACAAATTTCCACTAGTTTTATAGTTGATACTTGATACCAGCCCATTTGGATTTTTCAAGAAAAATTGATACACCTTTTGTATAAGAATTGGGCCATAGATTTAATCTATAATGACAGGAGCGTCAAACTTTGTGGGATTCGCATGTATCAGTGAGAAGGTGGAATGATTAACATCGTTATTAACAAATCGGCGTCTGTTGTGGCTTATAGGGTTATAACTATGGCGCTTGAGCAGTCGTCGTATTATCTAGCTATTAATAAAGAGGGAAAGTGATGAATATCAATAAAGAGAGGTGTGATAGATGATGGGAGCGATCAATAATATATTTATATTAGGTGATTTAGGGCTAGAGTTAGGTTTTCAGAGAGAAGGCGAGAGAGAGAGAAGCACATACGGAGAGAAGGTCTGAGCGTAGGTCTGGAGGTGACGGAACCAAACTATGTTTTTCATCCTTTCTTAAGAAAATCATTTTATATGTATATATAATACTCTTTTATATATATACATATATTCTTAAGAATGATTTCATGAGAGTATAATATATATAATGATTTTCTTAAGAAATGATGAAAAAGGAGGTGGTTGGAACCGCCGAATACATACTGTTGTACTACTGGTCTACAAATGTCCACTGGTTTTACATTTTATACTTGATACCGGCCCTTTTTGGATTTTTCGAGAAAAATTGACACATTTTGTATAAGAATTCGGCGATAGATGTAATCTATAATGACAAGAGCGTCAAACTTTGTGGAATTAGCATGTATCTGTGAGACGGTGGAATGACTGACATCGTTATTAACAAATCGGCGTCTGTTGTGGCTTATAGGGTTATAGCTATGGCGCTTAAGCACTCGTCTTATTATCCTAGCTATTAATAAAGAGGGAAAGTGATGAATATCAATAAARAGAGAGAGAGAGAGAGGTGATAGATGATGGGAGCGAACAATAATATATTTATATTAGGTGATTTAGGGCTAGAGTTAGGTTTTCAGAGGGAAGGCGAGAGAGAGAAGCACATACGGAGAGAAGGTCTGAGCGTAGGTCTGGAGGTGACGGAACCAAACTATGTTTTTCATTCTTTCATAAGAAAATCATTTTATATGTATATATATAATACTCTTTTATATATACATATATTCTTAAGAATGATTTTCATGAGAGTATAATATATAATTTTCTTAAGAAATGATGAAAAATGAGGTTTTTGGAACCGCTGAATACAGTGTACTACTGGTGTACAAACTGGTTTTACAGTTGATACTTGATACCGGGCCCTTTTGGATTTTTCGAGAAATATTGATACACCTTTTGTATAAGAATTGGACCATAGATGTAATCTATAATGACAGGAGCGTCAAACTTTGTGGGATTCGCATGTATCAGTGACTAGTGAGAAGGTGGAATGATTGACATCATTATTAACAAATAATGGTGGAAGTTTAGCAGCCAGTTGTACAACACTATGTATTCGGCGATTACCGCCACCCTTTTTGGTCTACTTAAGCGGATTGGTAACTGGAGATATTAGTCTGAGTTTGAAAAAGAACATGTTCAAGATTGATGTCGATCGCTTACGGAAGGCTGTAATGGAGGATGGTCTGGCCGATATTCTGGATTTGTGGAACTTCCAAAACCGAAGAAAGAAGTATACAAAGAGGGGTATTAAAGATTGTTGTAGACGCAAATGGCTATAATCGTCGTATCAAGAGGATTCAACCAGAAGTAGAGAATGGGAAAGTGTTTGACCTAAAAGAATTCCCCGGTAAAAAATTCCAGGCTTGGAGGTTCTTTTTAACATTTGGAGGTTAGTGTTTAAGCTTTAAGGTTTGTGTTATGCTATTCGGGATGGTTGGGTAAAGAGTTTGTGAGTCTTTCTTTTTATTTTCTAGGCTTTGATAGACTCGTTTTTTAATTTACTGAGCATGGAAAAACAATAAAATATTGCAAATAGAAAAACAGTGTCACAAACAACTGGATTATAAGATGCTCCACAGTAGTTAATAAGCAGATTTTTCAAAAGTAGAGCATCATTAAGACTTAGACTACAAAACAATATGCTGGAAGTCACACGAAATTATTTATTTCAAAAAGGAACTCGTGTGTTTTTGAAAGAGAAAGAAGATCCAAATAAGGCTCAATTGCAAGCCAGCAATTCGATGTTATAACTGCTTAATAAACAAGGGTCAGAAGGATTGTGTCTAATTTTCCAACTAGATGTTACTACAGTAATCAGTTAAACTACTTATTCATGAACTTGGATCTCTCATTACAATAGTTTCCTTTCACAATCTCAAAAAATTATCTTAGGTAAAATCTATGCTGTTAATTGCAGCGCAATAGCGGTATCAGTCATAAGCAAAGTAGCAGTGGTAAAATAGCGATGGAGTTTCAATAATAGCGGCGCAAATTACCGCTATTTCACCGATATTTGAGGTAAATAGCAGTCTGCAATACTGACATTTTCAGTTGGGCCTCTTTTGAATCTAATGCTTACTTTTTTGTCCTTTTTTGGGCTTTTATTTTGACTTGTGCTTCTATTTTGAGTTGGGCCCTTATTTTATTTTACCCCATTAACAATCAACTAATATCATCCAACATCCGATTTAGAAATTCTTAGAATCTAAGGTTTTCAATTTCTTTCTATCATCGTCGACAGTATATTTTTATCATTGTTTAAGAACACTTTTCCTATTTTGTCTTGTGAAACTTGTTCAAGTTGATGTTTTGATGTTGAAACTAAATTTTTAATTAATAGATATAATATGTTTATGTATGCATACTGCACAAATATATAATATGTTTATGTATGCATGCATGCATATATATATATATATATATATATATAATTCTAAGAAATATCATATGAACCGCTATTTTTGGACCGATATACCACCGAGATAACCGCTATTTCAAATATCAGTCCTGACCGCTATTTTGTATTTGGATCGCTGTAACAGCATAGGGTAAAATTGTTGAATGCAGGTGAAATTGACATTTTAAATTTTCTGCATATAGCTTATTTTTGTATAATCAACTATATCAATGTACAAAGCCTCCCACTCGTTATCTATCTTTATCATTCCTCCTCTTGTAATCATTAAAGATTAAAAAAAGGGAAAAAAGTGACTTCCAAAATCTGCCTCTGGTTGTGTAAAGTCAACCTATAACAAACATCATTCTCCATTTGCCTGCTTCCTAATTGAGCTCAAAACAGACCTACGTATTAAATAGATGGTCCCAAACATTGACCTAATATGATGATGGTAAAAATAAAAGGATAAGAGTCGCATCCTGAATATAAAGATCGTCAAACCCCCCCTCCCCCCTACCAAAATCCCAATATAAAGTATTTAGTTTGAAACTGGGCCAAACAGTTCTAATCTTGCTTAACTTAACTTCCATGCAATCACCAAATAAGCAGAAACAATTGTGGTAATCAACAGACAAACTAGCCATATCTTCCTAAATCCTGCTTTTTTGTTATGCTAAAATTTAAATAAATAACGATTCCATCATGGAGATGATTTTACTAAAAAAATCTTAATCAATACAGAAAGTGCTTAATTTCTGCACACCTTGTGCACTCATGGTACTCTAGGGCAACTGCTTTATCAGTGCGTGGTGTAGGTTCAGAGAGGAGAACAAGGTAACAAGTCCAGTAGCAACAACAGTCAACAGAAGTTAAAAAATCTTCCAAAATGTATGTATTGAAATTGAACGGTAATGATATACTGATATTTGTTGTTTAATGGAGATCGTTTTATTGCATCCCTTTTCGCTTCACAAGAGTTCGACTAAGAAGCAAACTTGTCTTCTCAAAGATCTTTAAATTTTTTATTTTAAATTACTTTTCAGCCTTGTTGCACATGTTCAACTAGAAGGAACCTTGTCTTCTCAAAGATCTTTAAAATCTTTATCTAAAATTACTTTTCACCCATGTTACACAAATATGTATTCACCCGAACTGATTCAAATTATGTGCCTACCTATCTGTTACATGATTGGACTATTCATACAATGACATGATAAATTATCACATATGAAATTGCTCATGTGACACAATTTGTACGCATTTAACAGGTACAATTGCTTTCCAACGACGGTAGAGCAATCTTTTTGTTATTGCAAATACTCAGCCTAAGGATTCATTCAAACACTCTCGAATGACGTTTGAACAATCTTCCTACGAGTTCAATTCTCCCAAACCTAACATCAATCTCACTACTATATGAATTTCATGACATTCTATTCACTTTTACCATTTACATATTTGCTATGTTAGCTGGTCCTGGCTCATAAAACCACAAAAACATCTTATTTCTCCACGTCCAATAAACGATTCAATGATCTATATAATTGCAATATGGGTATATCCTAACAAACTCTAGTCATATTACATCTCAGTCCAATAAAAGATTCCTTCTTCCACAATAGAACTTGGACCTTATGGGGTTAGCTCAATTGGCACGAGGCTTGGGCCTCTGGGGATTTTAGAGGACATCCTTTCAAGTCCTGCAAGGCCACCGGGATTTTCCTGGCTGTTCTCTAGGCCACTGGGATTAGTCGAGTGCATGGCCCGGACACCCAAGCTTAAAAAGAAGGCGTACAAACCATCTACCTATTATCACACTCACAAAGCTCCATTTGTTTATAACAAAGTTCTTTTGATAAACATCATCCCAATTCCCAAATTGAACTGATGTATTCCTTGAAAACAATGGAGCAAAGACAGAGATAACAAAGTAATAACAGAAAAACCACATTTGTATAAGGCAAAAATAACCAAATTAAAACAAAGACCTTGAACCGAGCCCATCTCCTTCTCAACTTTTGCCTGCATTTCACGTAGCGCCCCTGCTTCTTCTTCAATCTCCTTCAGTCTCTTCTTCATATCCTCTAAATCCTAAATTGACAAACATAAAAGATAGCTCGAAATTAAATTAGGGATTAAACTCACTTCACACGTATACATTCAATCCCTAAACCATGTAAATAAACACGACGAGATTGAAAGAAACATAATATAGACCTTGGAGTTATTGTTATCATCGCCTTCCGTTTCGTTCCTGGACATCTCAACATCGGCATCCATTTCTCCTTCATCCGGTATATCTCCGCCGTAAACTTCGTGCTCTTGCTCTTGATCTTGCTCCGCCGTATGATCCATAACTCTAACGTCCGATCTGTTTCTGCAAAAACACGCAGTAGTTTGATTTAAGGGCTGTGATTTTGAGAGGTGGGAGTTGGTGATCGATGATTGAGAAACGAGATGATGATGAAGGGTAATATTGTTATTCCTTTTATCACTGGGGGTATTTTTGGAATTATATTCCGGGCTTTGGGCAGGGTTTTAGTTGACCTATTATCTCATCTTGGGCCCAAGCCCAATTCAAGCGAACAAAATCTTCACAGACGACGCCACGACGGGGAGACTCACGACGCTGATCGGTGGTGGATTATCCGGCGACGGCTACTATCTCGGACGGTGACTTCCGTTTCTTGCTCTCCAAATATCAAGTGGTCTCTTATTACTCTCAATCTATTAATCTCTATACTTCTGTTACCTCTTTGTTTTTTTGTTGAATTTGTTTGTTACTTGTAAAACTTGTAACTTGAACTCGAAGAATGTTTTTTGATCTTGATTTGTTGTTACTGATCTCTTGTTTAAGGCCGATTCAGAATTTATCTGTTGAAAACTTGGACTTGGACCTAAAAACCCTAATTTAAAATCGTTGAATTGTATTATTTTGCATATGGAATTTGAAATTGTGGATTATGATTACAATTTGGAATGTAGGAGTTTTACATTGATCCTCTAAGGGATACTGTAATCATAAACCATTTTTGCTGTAATGACATAGTGTGTTATGAATGCAAAAGGGAAGCCTTCATCTTCAAAATTGATGTGAAAAATTGCTAACCACGTTAAACTTTGTGATAAGCGTTTTTGTTGCTGGTAAATCCTGTTTTACCTTGCTGATGTTCCAGAGACCATTATATTGAACTCCTAGGTGTTCAACTGCATGGCTTCTGGTCAAGAAACCGATGACTCCTCAAATAATCAAAGCTCGTAAGCTTCTATATGCCATGTGTTTATTATGTGGATTTAACCATATTCACTGTGAGTTTAAGTTGCAGTGGTAAAATCATTAGCATGTGATACAAACATGTTTCTGATCTCGATAAGATTTCAGACCCAAGAAAGTATACAAGGATCCAGATGATGGGCGACAAAGATTTCTGCTTGAACTTGAATTTGTGCAATGCCTTGCCAATCCAACTTATATTCACTGTAAGTTTGAGTTGCTATGGTAAATTTATTATTATGAAAGACTTGCTTTTATATGATGGTAAATAGTTGCATAGATTATGTGGTTTCCCAAGTCTGAGATTTAGAATAAATAATAAAATTATGTGGTAGGAACCTTAGGCATATAGAGATTAAGTAGTCCGCATTTATCCTAGGATAATTCTTAATCACCAATTAAGAGGTGTATAATCTTACTCAGTTGGCAGTTGGCCTGCACCATATTCTCTACTTTCATGTACCCTTTATGAAGCTTTATGTTTGTTGATTGGGTGTGATTAGTACTTTAAAGTTCTGATGCAGATTTAGCGCAGAACCGTTATTTCGAAGATGAAGCTTTCATTGGCTATTTGAAGTACCTTCAATACTGGCAACGACCAGAGTATATAAAATACATTATGTAAGCTGTGCTTGCCTTTCGAGTATGCACACATGCTATTTCAGCCTAACAGTCTTATTTTCTTCACTGTTTATATCAGGACTCATACTTTATCCATTCACTTCTATATTATATTAATATATGCTTTACTTCTGGAGGACCTCAGGTATCCGCATTGTATCTACTTTTTGGAACTTCTCCAAAATGCAAGTTTCCGTAATGCAATGGCACATCCAGCGAATAAGGTTGCTTCAATTGGAATTCTTCATCTATTTCTTTTCCTGATCTTTTTCTTATGCATTATATATGATATAAGTAATTTTGTAAGCTTCAATCAACTCCAATTACTTTGGTGAGAGTGTTTGAATTAATTAGTATATCCCATATTGAGAAAGTTCCAAAGTTTGACAAAATTAAGAGGGATATGTGGATATGTTTGAATATATATAACTTTGACTCTAATCATGTCCATTTTCTTTGGGTCTTGCTGTCACTTAATAATGTGGAGCAAAACACAACATACTCTATTTTCTTCTAAATAGCATAGGTGCCCATTTGTATCTTTGTTGGCGCTTCTTATCGGCATTCAAATCATGAGTTGCTTGGTGCTATCTGCTCTTAAGGTGGTTGTATATCTTGGAGGACAGTTAGATGTAATCTTGGGTTGGCTGCGTCACATTGTCTGTTTCGCGTCAATTGCAATTGATAACTCTTTTCTCGTCTCGATATCTGGTTCTTTGTAAGCAGTTGCCTTAATGTTTCTTGTATCTACTAGTTTTGACTACTGCATTTCCTTTTTGTGTGTATAGCATAGTCATAATGTCCAACATCTTAATGTCAAACAACTATGATTCATATTGTGCTGAACATGGCAATTCTTTTTGTGTTTCTGGGTCTGAGGAACTTTTTAGTCTTTTCAAATCTTTATCCTTGTTACCTCATATGAATCGTTAGATTAGCATAATATGAAATGATTTACTTATGCTGGTTCTGATTTCCTTTTTATGGCATGGATTTTTTAGGAGTTGACACACAGGCAGCAATTCTATTATTGGAAGAACTACAGGAATAATCGGTTGAAACATATGTTACCAAGGCCCCTTCCTGAGACCACCGCTGCACCACCATCTAATGCACTTCCACCACCTATACCGCCTTCAACTAGTACCATTACCGCTGCTTCTGCCCCTGGGTCTGCGCCTCCAGTACACTCGCCAATGCAGTATGGGGTACCTTCTGGTCCACCTCTAGCCAAAAACGACCCAAGGAGTGGGATTGATAGACGAAAGAGAAAGTAAAAGTTATTCTCTACATGTTTTGGTTGTCAACATAAAATTTGTTATTCAAATTTTATATCTAAGAATGTGTGAAATGGTCAATTGGGGGTGTTCACGGAAACAGCCGCTCTACTCATTGGGTTAGAGGACATGTCTACGTACATCTCACCTGCTACTCTTATTTTTGAGTGGAATATCGGATTGAGTTTGCTTTGGTGGGGAAAGTTTAATTGAGAACCATAAATATTTTGAGAACCTGGGAGCCTAACTATTTCATGTATTATTCATCATGAATATCATGTATTTTCATTATGAGTAATTTTCATCATGAATATCTATCATGACATTATTCATAATGAATGAAACTTTAATAGTGGGTTCTTAGTTCTCAAATCCTCAATATATTTACGGTCCTTGCTTGAACCTACTCCTTGGATTGGTTTGGTTCACGTGTTATATATATAGTCATTGACCACACTCTTTTCCTTTTACAGGAAAGACGGATAATTTCACAAGTTATGTGCAATACTTCATGGTTGATGAGACCCAATACTCGAGGTATAGTATGCCTTTTCTTCTTGTTGTTGTTCATGAGACTGAACTGGCAATATATGCTACTTTATGTTATTTTCGAGTTTATTGGATGTCCGATATTTATTATTGTTGAATTTGAGGTGCCAAGTAATTTGGAGAAATAACCATATCCCACATCTCTGCAATTTTGGGAGTTCCCTATTACAGCCCTTTTCTACATGTGTCAACAAGAACAAAGATTTTTTTGTTGCATGTGGAGAAATGGTGTATTTCTAGCATCTGTTTATAGATTATAGCTTCTTAAAAACAAAAACAAACCAAATGCACCCAGTAAATTTCACTCAAAAGTAGGGTCTGGGAGGGGTAAGATATACGCAGAATTGACCACTACCTCAAGAGTAGAGAAATGGTTTCCATGATGACCCCGGCATGTGCAAGAGTGTGGGCAAACAGGTAGTAGCAGAAAAGATAAGCACATGGTCAAGAAAGCACGAGAAATATGTGTTTTCTATCGATTGTTGGTATTTATAACGTTTGGCTGCATTTGTGGGGGTCGTGTTTATGTGTCATGTTGTAATCATACTTGCGAAACATACATGTGTGCATCCCATACAGGTTAGTCACATGAATTATTATTGGCTTACTTGCTACTCATTTGCTTGCGACCTACCAAAAAACAGTCTCATACGTCTAAGGGGCCGTTTACTAAACGCTTATCAGGTCACATTACCTTACTGGATGAACATGGCAAGGATTGAGAATCTTACCGATAAGAGAAATGGCAAGGACCTACAAATCTTACCGGGAAGTGAGGGTGACGACTCTTACCCGGTTAGTGCTTACCGGGTAAATTGTTCCATACAATGTCGTTTTGATGGAGTAGAATCTTACCCATTAAGTTAAGTGATAGTGTTGCATTTTACTAGTAAGAGCTTTTCAGGTAAACTTTTGGATAAACCGTCCCCAAGTATTTGTAATGTCTATACAACTGTCTGGTCAACTTTATGTTTGGGTTACACTTGGTCAATGCGACCTTAGGTGCGACCTCAAGCTCAAGCTCAAGCTCAAGCAAATTTCTCATGGTTGGATTGGCCTTTGGCTGGTTATTTGAGAACTCATGAGCGAGATTCTATTCATATTAGGTCTCTTGATTCATGCGGGCTCAAAGGCGACCATCGACTTCAGTTGTGCTATTTGTTTGTGTGAGTTTGGGGCTCATTTCATTATACAGAACCTGGTCGACAACCATTGTGCATGTATCACTGGTATTGCCCCATAAGGGAACCTATTTTCAAGATCCCATTTTGTTGTCTACAATTAGACGTCTCAAATGAAGAAATCTATAATTATATTTCAAGAATGGATTTTTTCTTCACAAAGTTAAAATAACATACTTATTTTGTTGGTGAAGGTATAGTATGTTATTTTAACTAGTGTTTGACATCGTGCAGCGTGCAATGACAATAATTTTTTTAAATTATTGAAGTTGGCTAAATGAGTCTATGATCACATTTATATATTAAATTAATAAAAATCAATATTACTTTTGATATATGAGTCTGTGTTATCGTTATTGGTTGTTCTTTTAGTATATATATATATAGAGAGAGAGAGAGAGAGAGAGAGAGGGKGGTTCAAATACTAACTCATTTTTTTGTGTTAACTCTACTAACCAACATCAACCAATCACATTCTTTCTTTTATTTTATGTTCAAATGTAACTTATAAATTGAATACAAGAGTCATTTTGTAATTTGACCTTTATGTAATTCCCTAATAATTATTTGAGAGTTACAAATCTTTTAAGATCCCTCTAATTGATCATGAGGTAATTCCGATGTTCACGGTGTTCATGGTGTTCATATCCATGTAATGTCCATGAACATTCACCGTGTTCATATAAATGTTCACCGTGTTCATATAAATGTTCACCGTGTTCATATAAATGTTTACCATGTTCATGCGATGTTTTTATAAAAGTACTCTTTAAACCGTTGTTCATAGGCATCTCAATTAATATATTAATTAAATGATTATTTTTATAATCTCATTTAATAAGGACCATTTGATGAGAAAATAAACGATCAAGATCGGGTTAACATAGTTTGCACAATAGTTTTGGTTAGTATTTGAACCAGCCCCTATATATAGATATATATATATATATATAGAGAGAGAGAGAGAGGGAGAGAGAGGAGCGAGTAATTACAAACCATTCTCATTTATGAAAACCTTACAAACCAATCTTATTCATTAATTTTCTTGATCAATTGTCAAGATTAAATGTGTTTATATTCAAAATAAAAATAAAATTTTAATTTCTAATTAAAAAAAGGCAAAATTGTCAAGTTTTTAATTTGTATGATTTTGTAAACGAGGTAACAAAATCGTGGATATTCTAACATTAATGAAACAAAATCATTATTTTAAAATTTATATATATCATCACAAAGGTTTTAACCAAAAATGTTTGATAAAAATTATCTTCATTTCATGTTGAATATTATAAATAAAATAACATCCACATTAAAAATAGATCCAATTAATGAGCAATGAAACTAGGTATATCTTAATAAATTATGAAACATAAAAACATACTTTAATCAACAAAAAATAATGAAACCTTTTGAATACTAAATGAAATATTTGTGTTTCATTAAATGAATGAATGAAACTGTTTCACCTATTATATTATGAACTCACGTTACTCTTTGTCACCTACAATGAAAGATGGACTACTTGACATGTAGTAGTGAACGATAAATGAAACTATTTCATAGTCGGTTATTGAAGTAGGATTTGACTCTTAATAAATTCTAATCAAACTAATTTTAAAACAAGGGATATCCTAATAAACGATGAAACATATAAAAAATGAAACATTTTTGAAAATTGAATGAAACATTTGGAAAACTGAATAGTTTATTTTCGTAAGTGAAACTTTTTCATGCATAAAACGTTTCGAAATATTAATAAATTAAATTCATCTGTGAAATTGTGTTCATGGTCAATATTGACCATGACATTCGTTTCATCACTCAAAATACATATATTTTTTTCAATGAAACGAAATCAGATTTCATATTTTAGTGCTTTTACAATTCATATTTTAATAAATATAATTTAATAAAATAATAAAAACTATTAATGGTAAAAAAATTATATTAAGAAAAATTAATTTACCACCTTCTATATTTAATGTTTCTATTATTACGTTTTCATAATTAAGAGTAATTATTACATTTCAATATTAACCAGTATACAATCAAATGACTATTATACCCTTATTTATTAAAATTAAGGAAAAAAACAGAATTTTCCTATTGGTCGAAAATAGTTTGCATAGTTTTCATGAATTGGACAGTTTGTAACGTAACACGTCTCTCTCTCTCTCTCTCTCTTTCTCTCTCTCTCTCTCTCTCTCTATATATATATATATATATAATAAGTCTCATAATCATGAGGTCTATTATGAGAATTGTTTTGTCATAATACATATCAATTTATCTTTTACATATATTCTCATAAAATATTTATATTCACCAAGCAAACATTGTGTTGTTGTCTACTTTGATATTATTTTTAAATATTTTTGCAATTTGCTTATATTAGTCATAATATACTCATTTGCAACATTGACCAAAAATATTCTTGAAACCTTCTTTTCCTACATGCAATTACACAAAGTGGAACAATAATAACTAGTTAGGGCTGTGCATCGGTCGGGTAGAATCGGACCCGAAAATGGCTAACCCGATCGAGTTTCAGGGTAAAAAGACACAACCCGAAGTATACTGTTCGGGGTTCGGGTCTAGTCGGGTACGGGGCTACTTCGGGTCGGGTTCGGGTGAATAGCATAGAAGCGAATAGAAGAAGCAAATTGCACAGCCTTAAACTTGTGTACATGTAATTGTCAACTGCTATATGAGACTAGTAAAAGAGATGATGCAACTGCTATATGAGGCTAGTAATCCCTCGAACATTATTATTAAATGGAAACCAAAAAACCATTCAGGACAAAGACAAAATCATTGTTTATAATACCCACTAAAAGTACATAGAAGCTGTTACCCAACAAATACACTTAATAAACAAGAAATCAAGAGTCCAGATGTTTATCCGAAGTATTTGTCACATAATAAATCAACAATGTAGTACCTGATCCGAAGGAGAGGTCCCAGATTCTCTAGTTAAATCATAAACGAATAATATAGCCGTCGGTAGATGAGAGAGCACATTAAAGTGTTAGCTTTTCTAAATTATTCCTATCCTCTGCAGATCACAACACAAATTATGTTAGAAAAAAACTGATAACAAATGCATTTCAGGACCCGAAATTATTTTCACATGCAACTGAAGGTTCTTCTGATGTCAATCACCTTCAGCTAAATTCAAAGTGAATCTTTTCAAGTAAGAAAGCACACAATTTTGCTACAAGGCAAAAAAAAGTGTGGACAACCACTTTAATGGATGACATTGTTTGAAAACTGAAATATAGAATGTGTTAATAAAAGAAGAGCAGAAGTATTTTACTGTCACATATCCTCAGAATCCCATGTGTATCGGTCACCTGCAGTCAAAACATCAAATTTCGGACATATTATAAAGGCAAGGTTTCAGAAAACGAGCTAAGTCCTTAAGAACTTATTGATGTCATGATACCTAATGCTTGTTGATAAACAATTCAAAGCGTTCAGTCAAGCCTAGTTTGGATCGATGCCACTTTGCCAGCGGACTCATTAACTCAGGATGGTTAATTATAAAAGCAGGATTGACACATGTCTCCTCCAGAAAGTGTCCCACAAGCTGCACACAAGTAATTTAACGAAATAACACAGTATGCTGTTAGCAAAGTGGTAACAACTAACAAGTCAATATAAACTAAGCAAAAGCTAACCTCACTAAAACATTACAATTTTACCCTTAAAGTGCCAAACTGCATGCAATGAAGGCCAAATACATGGCAGCCCCTCTGCCAATGACATTTTCCATCAAGGTATACTTTTTTCCGGTTACAAAAGCAGTGGTAGACTACTTACTGTAAAGGTCAGCAATATTACAAACAGCAAAACACCAAACAATGACAGCAAACAAGCAAAATTAAAAACAAACAAGCCATCGATCAACTTGAAGTCACTATATTGTGATTGGTTTATTGTCCAAAAAGTGGGAAAGATAATGTACAGGAAAGAAAAGTGGGAAAGAATCTTCAATCTCTTTGTAGTTTCCCATCACAAACTCTTACTTTAGTCATCTTGTTTTCACACCAATGCATATGTTCTTCACTTAGATCAGTAGTCCTGAAATATTGAGGAAAATTGATAAAGTAATATAAAAGAAAACAAGAGGTATATTATCTAGTATGGCTTGTAGTTTGCCCCCTTTACATTCCAATATTTCATTATATTGGAGGTTGTACAAAGAAATAAAATACCTTTCAAAATTCAAAGTGGCCACTTCTACAATATATCATCTAGCTGTAGATCATCTACATCAATAGCTGGAACCGGAAGAGAATCCTCTTGGTCAGTGACAAAACTTGAACTTTCAATTCTCATATTCATCATGTATGCGTTTATAGAAACAAATTAAAAGAAGTATGAAATATATAAATATAAAAATTTAAGTTGAAAAGGTATACTAAAATACTGAATACATAACTAATATCGTACATTTCTCAAACTTTTCAATATCAGTTATGTTTTCTTCAACTGCAATTGGCTGACTAGGGCCTCTTAGCCAGTCTTGTGTACATMTCARRGCTTCTACCATTTTAGGAGATAGAGAACTCCTAAAATTATCTAAGACCCGACCACTAGTACTAAAAGTAGACTCAGATGCCACAGTTGAAATTGGAACTGCAAGCACATCTCTAGCCAATTTTGAAAGAATAGGAAACCTTTCACTATTAACCTTCCACCATCTTAAAATATCAAAATCGTTTGTCTCATCTATGGTCGACTCACTCAGATAAAGTTCAAGTTCACTCTTTTTGTTGAGTGAAGCCCCACTTTCCATCTTTTGTTTCTTAAGTTGGCTCTTTAATCTAGATTGTACCCTTCCAACAGGAACATTCTCACACTTAATGGGTGGAGGAGGCATCATAGTGGTAGAAGGTTCGGAATATGTTGACACATACTCTTGAAACAACATATCCAATTTAGAGTTTACCTTTTCAAAGCATGACTTACCTTGATCCTCACCATACATTTGAATGAGTTGGACTTGCATGTACTCAACCTTGTCTCTCGGGTCCAATATATTGCCAAAAAATATGATGAAGTTCATTTTATCTGGATCACCCCAATATTTACTGAACTTCTCTTTCATTTTAACACCCATTTCCTGTTCATAAATCAAAAACAAAAAGTAAACAACCAAATATAAGTAAATAGTAAAGGTAATATTAARGRAAGATAAACATACCTCTTCAACTTTCGACGTAGATTGTAACATATCGGCAATAATGCAACTCAAATCTGAAATCTCGGTTAAGAAAGAATTTGAGGTGACATAAAGTGAGCCAGAAATTCTAATTGTCATCTCATAAAATATCTTCAAAAATATGACCAAACTGTCAACCTGTAACCAATCAAGATAGGAAGGCACCGAATCACCCAAATCCTAATGTAACGCGGTGTCACTACTCTCATACGTTTCAAAAACTTGTCTGTAACCTATTGCGGTTCRAAGCATCATATAGGTGGAGTTCCATCTAGTTGGAACGTCAAGACATAAGGAACTTTTCTCTTCCACTTCAAGCAATTCTGCAAGTTCTCTAAACTTCTTCAACCTAGATGGAGAACCCCTCACCCACCTAATGCAATCCCTAATCTTCTTAACTGATGAATCTGTTAATTTCAATCCATCTTGTACAACCAAATTAAGAATATGAGCAATGCATCTCATATGTATGTACTCTGCCCTAGTAGAAGAACCACCCYAATTCRCCACCTTYTTYTTCATGAACCCAACGGCAATGTCATTGCTTGATGCATTATCAACTGTGATGGTGAAAATATTTTTTACTCCCCAATCAAGCAAACAACTCTCTATGGCCTGAGCTATACTTTCCCCTTTATGTGAATGTATAGGCACAAATGAGATGACCTTTTTATTTAATTTCCACTCATCATCAATAAAATGTGCAGTGACACACATATAATTGATTCTTTGGACAGATGTCCACGTATCAGTGGTCAAACTAATCCGCTGCGTGCTTGACTTAAACAATTTCTTAAGGTTGGTTTTCTTTTCAAAGTAAATACTGAATATATCCCTATTAACTGTCCATCTAGAAGGGATCTTAAATCTAGGGCATGCAGCCTCAACAAGCTGTTTAAAACCTCTCCCTTCAACAAACCTAAATGGAAGTTCATCCATTATAATCTTTTTCGCTAACATCTTTCGAACAACCTCTTGGTTAAAAACCCAAGAGGTCAAAGCACCATCACTATTCTCAGATTTTGCAGATTGAAATGCAAGAATTGACTGCTTTGTTTCTTTAACATGTGGATTCTTTAAACAAGCTTTCATGTGGCTATTTAAAAAGAAAGTACCATGTTTTTTAGCCTCAGCTGCATATACTTTTGAACAATATAAGCACTTACCTTTAATAACCAGCCCATCCTCGTTTAAAATCTTCTCAAAATGGTCCCATACTTGAGATCTGGATTCTAACGTTTTCCTTTTCCTTGTACTTTCCGGAACAGATTGACTTACGGTAGGATTAGATTGTAAAGGAGGAGCTTGATGACTATTACTTCCGGACAGAGACGTGCTAATTTTTTCCATCTACAGTTCTAAACAATATATCAGTATGCTAGAAGAATTTGATAAATAAAAAGTAAAAACCCTCCCAAGTCCCAATCCTATGCAAAGGTGCAGATTGAAAATGGTAAGCATAGCTGCTCTGTATAAATCAATATCTAGTTGCATAAAGCAGTATACGAATTTGATGATCTTATTTCATATCAATTATTATTAAACAAAACAAGGGTTATCATGTAATATGCATCATTGGCTTCTGAAATTTTATAGTTTTCGGTAGACTAGCATACCAGAATCGTTTGTTGTATCAAGTTCGTTTTTGTAAACTATTCAGAGTTGATCATCCATYTAAAGAGTTAAACCATGATTAGCAAACTAGTATTTAGCTAGGACATATGGAGGATTATTTAGCTAAACGGCCTCCTGACAAAATAACAAGAAAATCAAGTCGAGCCTGTTATCATATTGCAGCAACTATACCTAAGTTTATAAACTTGTATACAACTGGTTCTAAATATCCCATCTGCCCAATTTCCCATTATAAAGCTGCAATTGAGAAAGATCTAGGCTTTGCATCAAGATAGTGGCCACGCATCAAGCTAACTAAACCATCAAATGCATCCAATTTTCCGTAGCAAATACATATGAAACAGTGTTGCCATAATCAGGTGATCTACATACCAGTTAAACATAATTTATGATTCTATGAATGGTGACTTACCTTATACAATCATGACATAGTATTTACAAATGTGAATGGAAGAAGTTTTTTTTTACATTTAGAGCAATTAACAATGTAGGGGATAAGAGTAGGAGAAGGACCTTACTATAAATATGTTAATCTTCGTCACTCGTCAACACCCAACAGTCAATCGTCGACAGAGGGTTGTGCTGTTGTGCAGCCGGTCGGAGTCGGACGATAATAGACGGCGCCTCGACGGTCTGTCTCTATACTCTGTAGTTTACTAGTTCGGGTATGGTATGGTCGTATTCTCTTCTCTGCTCGCGTCAATTTTGAGTTTTGATTTTGACCTAACATAAGTCGCTTCACTTCAATTTTGACCTAACATAAGTCGCGTCCTTAGTAATTAGGGTAGTTTGGGTTTCGGGCGGGTTCGGGGGTGGGTCGTGAGAACCTACCCGATCCGCCATACCCGAGTTATATTTAGGATTCGGATATCGGGTGGTTTCGGGGCTTTTTCTGTCGGTTCGGGTCGGGTTTCATCGGGCGGGTAAGTCGGTAATTCGGGTTGGGCGGCTTTTGCACAACCCTATAGCTAGTATTATGACCATTTCAGATACATAGGAGTCTGATTGATTTGTTCTTTTTTCATTTGACTTGTACAAGCTTTTAGGTTTGTTTTAGACAGTTCATAGTTTGGTTTCTCTGTAAAAAATACTAAAAAAAAGATTTTAATAAAATTATGTAAAATAAAAGATATGCATTATATTGATTCTAGTGTTAATTATATATAGAGTTTATATATATATATATATATATATAGGGGCTTAATCAAATGAGAACTAATTAGTTTGTGTTAACCGTGAGGTCCAATCTCAATCACAAATCAATTATAAATTAGGAAATTTTTAATTTTGGTAATTTTTAATTAAAATTATAATGCAAGGACATTTTAGGTATTTTTTTTCTTCTCTCTCCTATCTCCTATCTTTTCTCTCCGTCTCCCGGCCTCCGGCCACCGTCCTCCGGTGATACCACAGTGGTATTACAATGTATCTTATATATGATTGGGTATCACACTGTGGTCGTTTGTGCGGTCGGTCGGATATGTAACACAATGGTATCACAATACATTTTATATGTGCTTGAGTATCACACTGTGGTATCACCGGAGAACGGTGGCCGGAGGACGGTAGCCGGAAGACGGGGACGGAGAGAGAAAAGAGGAGAGAGAAGAAAAAAATACCTAAAATGTCCTTGCATTAAAATTTTAGTTGAAAATTACCAAAATTATAAATTTCCTAATTTATCTATTGATTTGTGGTTGAAATTGGATCTCACGATTACCACAAACTAGTCAGTTCTCCCTTGAATGGGCCCCTATATATATATATATATATATATAAACTATAAGTTGCTTCTACGTTTTATAGGTATTATTGTATTAATTGTAATAAGTTTTTAGTTATATATATATATATATATATATAGGGGTGTTATTCTACACCCTCTACCATTCATACAACCTATGCAACCTTAATCTAAACCATTCAATTTTTAATCAATGATCCAGATTCAATTCATGGCATAATTGTAATAAAATTGAAGTTGGGTAACACGCGCTTCATATGATGAGGGCAAATAAGGGTAAAATTGGAATTAGGGATTTAATCTATTCTAAGTAACGATGCGCAAAGATTACGAATTGCGATTATCACTCTGCATTGTATTACATTAGGGAGATTCATTTAAGATTCACAGCATATGCTTACGAAGAACGATCAATGGCAGAAAATTTTCAACCCGGTATCTTTATTGCACCAAATCGAGGTAATCGTATTGTTCATTCCATTCCGTATACCTAGTTTATACAATCTTATATATCGATATGTCTATGATTCAGTAAGGAAATTGAGCGAGAGAATCATGATCAGAAATTCATTCTCCAAGTTCAAGAACACGGCGGATAATCCTGTTGTCTTAGACGAGGACGAACCAGACGATTTTGCAATGAACCAAGCTACATTTCAACCTGCTGAATCAGTTCCTCCATTTACACCATCAGATGACTCAACGAATTTCGAAGGTTAGTGAATATAAAACTTCGATGTTTTTAGTGTTGGCTAGATTATTAAGTTCTTGAATGCAGATTTGTTTTACATTTTGCATATAGAATATGGTGTCATCTGTTTTTATATGATGGTATGAATGTGATGATGTGACTGCACATCTGTAGATGCTTATAGGTGTTAATAAAGAGCTACTGAGAACCTTGTGTGCTCAAATTAAGGGTAACTAGTTTGTTGTATTGGTAAGCAACTTAAAGATGAGCATTTTAGTGAACATGACCATTTAAGTGAACATGACCATGGTGAAATTGAATGTATTACAATGAACCCAAATTCATTTAAACATTTGGGAAAAAWACAATGCTGATTTTGCAACTTGCCTTTTACTCTTCATTTGGATTAGCRTTTCATTATGTATGTAAATTAATGAATCAAGTTTCATCTGTTTAAATATATCTTTTTAAAGATGATGATGATGATGATTATGATAGTTGACTATGACAAGTCTTAGTTGATAAAACAATCTTAAATTAAGCCAAATTGAAATCTTGATTTAGATGGATAGCTGTTACCAGAACCTTGATTCAAACCATGAGAATAGTAAAGGCTGAATCAGTATTCTTAAATAAAAAGACAATGGTTTGAAGCTAACAATAAACATTCAATTGCATTAGTTAATTGGGTTTGAAGCTACTGCTACTGGTTTCATTAGTTATTCAGATTTTGTAAACTCTTAGCATATTTTGCCTAAATGAAACCAATTAAGGCATACCATCATGCGGAATCTTGTTTCTTAGTATTCTTGGTCTGATCATGTAACATATTTATGCAGATTATCAATGATGAATCTGGATTCATTGTCATGAACAACCATGATGAATTTAGATTCATTGACAGGCTTGCCATGTCTATCGAAAAAATTCAAAATTCTCATAAGTCA